ATTGATCCTTACATCAAGCATGCAAATCAGTATCGATATCTACACTTTCCACTCCACTTTAAGTATCATTGGACCATAGTGGTGAGCAACATGGATGATTGAGTGTGGAAACACTACAATTCAATGAGGCCCAGAGATGGTTTTGAAGAGATACACCTAACTCAAGCAAGCATAGTGGTAATTTCAATATTTCATTCTACAATATGAAAAAAATGTGCATGCTGAGTTATACATCAACGTAGTTAAAATATTATCTATTCTATACATTTAATCATATTCACAATCACAGAAAACATATATCGAATCACATATTCAGAAATTGCTCTCCACATCGAATATGATAGATTCATTAACACCCTCAGACTATGTCAAGCCATTGCAATCAGTTGATGCATGCCCTTAACAATATCCAAATTCATGAGTATTTACAATTAATATTCTCATTAACATAGTAGCTACAACCAATGTGAATATGAGAAAGTATAGTTTTTTTTTTTTTTTTTTTCCCCTTCTTCTCCTGTAGTCTTAATTACGGAGTTGCATTTTGCTACATAATGAGGCAACATGTCCTTCATGAACCAATTGAACCTGTGTTGGACAAAGAAGCTTGGTTTGCTAAGTTGTATCAGTCGAAGCATTCCTGAATGATCCTGAAAGAACAAATCATGCAATTTTTGTTGTTGACACTAAGAAGGATGCATCTGAGAACTAAACTTCATATTTTCACACGCCACCATTTTCTTTTGATGTATTGATGACACGATGTTAACATTAGGTTTTGTCTAAGTACGATATGTTTTGTATATGATATATCAGTCACTAACATGTGAACTTGGGTATTGTTAGTTAGTAAACAATGATTCCACAAAGTTGTTGATATGAATAGTTATATACATTTTGTTTACCAAAAAATGTACTTTTAATATGAATGTTCTTTCTTGGTCTTATTCATGGTGTATGAGTATTATTAGTCATTATATTTGTTTGTTAAGTATAACACAATGTGAAAGTTCACATATGTATATCATATGCTCACCCTGCCAACACATATTGGGGATATATGTAACTTCTCTACGTTTTATTTTGCAAAAAATCAAAACAAACTATTTCAAAATAGTAAAGAAAATGTAAAGAAACTACAAAATTACAAATTTCATAGAACAAATCACATTTTTATTGACAAATTGTTTGAAAATATCAAAATTCACATTAAGAAGCTTGCACTAATAAGTACACCCATACATAAACTACTAAATTGTTCACTAATGCAAATGTATGTAACATTCACAACAGTATGTTATTTATCTAAAACAAATTGTGCACTATAAATATTCACAAGTCAACATAATATTCACAATGATATCCAACACATGAACCAATAGAACTCTATATTTGATCTTTATACAACTTTAATCGTGGCTGCCTATCTTTTTAGATCTACCGCACCTCAAATCTGTTAAAAAACATATATCATATTTCACCCATCAACACATATTGCATATATATGTAACAAGATAACATTTTATTTTGCTAAAACTGATAAACAAATTATTTCATAAATAAACAAAATGAAAAAAAAAACTACAAAATGACAAATTGCATAGAATGAATGAATCTCTTCTTATTGAAAAATTGTATGGAAATACAAAACAAGTACACCAATGTATCAACTAATAAAATGTGTATTCAATGCAAATGTATGTAACGTTCACAGTGGTATCTTATTTATCTAAAACAAAAAAAATACTGTAAATGTTCAAAACTGAATGTGAAATTCACAATGTTTACCAACACATCAACCAATATAACTCTGTATTGGCTCTTTATACGACTTCCAATTGTACCTGCCCATCTTTCCATATCTGTCACACCTGATTTGACTTACTTTTTCCCCTCAAGATGGTATTCTACTCTTTCTTGGCCTACCAGCTGGCCGCTTTACAATTAGAGGTAATATGATGAAATCGCTAAAGGAAAAAGCTGGTTTCTCTACAGATGGTATTAGGAAAATAGCCGCTGCATATGCTTCCCTATAATTCTCTACATGAAAATATTTTTCAACACAATCATTAAGATTATATGCACTCCTTTGGATAACCGCAACAATATGTTCACAAGGAAATCCATTTACTTGCCACCGGTAACATGAACAAACACGGTGTCCAATATCAACTGTAATTGATGGAAACAAATGCACCTCGAACACATCATCATTAGCTTTACACACATTCTATGACTTACTAGTATTGAATGATCTTAGAGGTTAGTCTCAATGGTAGGGCATATAATTCCATTTCATTTGTTTGCAATCTCTATTTGCTATGACATTTGACACATTATTTGATTCTCGATAGTATCAACCAATTTTGTTATTGGAAGATTTTGTGCTTCTTTAATCCAATTGTTGAATGATTCAGCAACAGTAGATGTCATCTATCACGACCCAAACCTGCCCCTATGGGTTTAGCACCGTAACCGGCCAGTAATCCGTGATTACTAAAGGCCTGTTTAACAGTAAAGACAGTAATACAGAGTACAAGGGCTGGCGGAAGCCAAAACAGTAATAAAAGATGTCCAATGAGCTGTGACAGTCTGTATGCAAAAAACTTTTCCGAACATATTCAGATTCATAAGCAAAACATATATACACCATATGTACAAACATTCAGGTTAGGGACCAAATCCCTAATTAGCACAGTACAGTACAAGTCTTAAACACCTATTACAAAACAGAGACATTAAGGGTGAGTCTAGAACACCCCCAAAACAGCCATGGCTTGGATAGACATGGAACCTCACAGTGAGGCACAATGGTTGGCTTGACAAAACTAGAGCTTAACCTGACGCTCCTAGCATCGATCCGGTGCTTGGACACCTACATATAAATATAAATAGTGAGTTAAAACCCAGTGAATAACAAATGTGTAAAGAGGTTAAGAATGAATGTCCTTTCAGTTATTAAACAGTCATATCAGTAATTTAGAAACTATAGCAGTTATATGTGGTACATCCAATAGCAAAACAGTACAGTAGGTCTTAACAGACTGAACAGTCAGTTGATGGCCATCATAACAGTATACAGTATTGGTCCCAAGTATTGGAACCGGCAGAGATCTCTGTGTCAGTAGCAGTAACAGTACAGTAACAATAAGTTGCTATGGATACCACGAGTACAGTTCATAAATAGGACATTATTCATTCAGTAAACAATATCACTTCAGAAAACGGTACAGTTAATTGTTCAGAAAATAATCATTATTGAACATATCTTTACAATATTGTTACTCACAAAGCACTGGGCTATAAGCAGCTAATGAGCGTCCTTGGATGCCAACCCTACACAGTTACAGAACGAACACACACTAAGTTACACACTTGGGAATCAACAACTTAGTCCCTATCTTGACTCGGTGTGGTTCTATATCAATATCCTCATTAAGATGCCTTAAACTAGGCCTAGAAATGCCTAGGATGGAATGAGGATGCAAAGATGCACTTTAAAACACATTTCAGAATTTTTCAGAAAACAGGGGTTTCGTTCGAGCGTGGCTTTCTTCGCTCGAGCGAGCTTGTCAAAACAGTGGGGTCGCTCGAGCGTGGACTTTCTCACTCGAGCGTGGACTTTCTCGCTCGAGCGGTCTGTAAAATGCAAAAAGTACTGGATGTTGAAAATCCCCACTCGATGCTCGCTCGACGCTCACTCGAGCGTGAGATACATTCCTCGCTCGAGCGTAGATTACCTCGCTCGAGCGTGCGTCTACGTGCACCAAAAACCTGAGAGCTTGCAATCTATGCTCGAGCCAGCATCCCTTCGCTCGAGCGGAGCTCTGAACAAAAGATGGTCGCTCGAGCGTGGAATCCAAAATCTGGAATTTCCAGATTTGCCTCCCAAGCTCAAACCAAGCATTTAACACTTCAAAACTCAACCTTTTGGGCCCATTTTCTGTAAAACACTTGAAAACTCATACTACAACATGTTTTGAAGATCAATTTTGTAAAATCAAGCCCAAAGGTAAGTCAATTGAACACAATTTCAAAGAAACTCTTATGAGCTATGTAAAAACATAACATGCAAGAACTCTTATGAATTAAGTGCTCTAAAACTTAACCAAATGCAAGATTAAGATCAAGAACATGGTAAATTCATGGACTATAACAAAAACATAGACATGCATGTGGAAATTCATGAAGAACAACCTCAAAATGCTATGGCATAGACATGCATGCATGAATTTACTCTCAAATTCAACTCTTTAAACCAATTCTTGAATCTAAACACTAATTTACCATGGACCATGCAAGATACAACTCCAATTCACAAATGAGAGGATGAAATCTCTACCTTAGGTCTTCAATTTCAAGTATGAAAGCTTAATTATGCAATTCCTCTTCAATTCTTCTAATTCTCCAAGCCAAATCTCAAGATGAAACCAATTTTCTCCCAACTCTCTAACTCTCTCACGTTTTGCTCTAGGAGATGGAGAAATTGTGTAACAAATATGAACAAGGCTCCAAACATGTAATAACAAAGTGACCCACTCAATGGTAATTTGGTAATTAACCTTGAATCAATAATTTAACATTATTTAATCTAATTTAATCATTCCAAATCAAATGTTAATTAAAGCTACCATAAAATTACATAAATTCTAACTAGCATAAAATACCAATCAATTTCTGAATCGGCCGCCGACAAGGCCTTCAATTCGCAATTCGAAACTAAAACATAAACAAATCAATTTATGACAAACAGATAGAAAATGCAATTAAGCAACATACTCATGCGTTCAGTTCAGATTTTCAATCTGTTCAATTACTTATCATACTTAATCATAGATTAGCACTAATCAGAGGTGAGGGTTGTCACATCATCTCAACAGCAAAAATTGTCACATTTTAATACCATATATGACATTTCACATTGTTATAACAACACAAAAATATAAACAATGTACATATGATCATCATTATATTCCATGAAACACACAATTGTACACACTTTACCTAAAGTAAGCATTTGCCCAATATTCAGGTTCTAGCCCTGACAAGAAGTTATATGCTAGTTGCTTCCTCTCACTCTTCAACTCTTCTAGTAATGCATGAAAACCTATCACAGTAGGTTCATATGCACAATCACCCAACTTCCCTATTAAGTGTTCCTTGAAACCATTCTTCATACCCTTTAACTTGTCTCTAAAATTATTCTTTAGGTGTTGTAAACACCATTCATGTTATACTGATGGGAATGTCATTGGCATTGCTTCAAAAAGCCCTAGGTTACGATCGGATACAAATGTTATGCATCTAACATTAGCAATTACTTTTGACAGTTCATATAGAAACCATGACCAATTCGATTCACTATCCGAATCAGCAATAACAAAGGTTACTGGAAACAATCCTAAAAGCAAAACCAATGTTAACAGTCACAACTGACACACAAAAAGTAAACAAATGTAAAACTTCATATCAAAAAGCTAAATAAACCTTGGTTACCATCTTTAGCTGTCGCTACAAGCAACTGCCTTTTGTATCTCTCTTTTAGAAATGTTCCAATAAGAAAAAGCAAAAGGCGACAATATTTAAAGCCATTTATGAACGCAGCGAATGCTACAAAAAATCTTTTAAACTGACTAGTCTTCAAATCATAGTCAATATTGATATCATTTCCCGGGTTATAATGCTGAATAGCATCACCGTACCATCTCTGTAGGTCAAATGATGTTAAGTAATCACCATGCATAGCCTTTCTCACTTTCTCAACACCTAACCTGGCTACATGGTAGCTGATATCAAGTCCATAGTCTGCCTTGAAAGTAAATGCCACATTAGTGGGCCGCGTTAGTGGTCTGTCCCTAATACGTTCAAATATAACATTTAACACCAAATCATAACTGAGCCTTGGATTTTTTGAAGTATGAACATCAGCACCACAACTATGTATCTTAGTCTATCTCTTAAGGTAGAAAAATTGGTTTGCTCTTTGGGCTCTACCATGTACAGACCATAAACATCCTCTATTATCTCTATGTGAGCATACAATATTAATTCGTTCTGAATCGTTCTTCAAATATTTGAATTTAAACCCACATTGCATTGCATATTTGCATAGAATAGTACGAAACTCAAATGCTTCTCCTGTAAAACATTGACCAACATGCGTAACATTATTTGCCCAAACTGAAGACAACAAAACCTTCTCACTGTGCGCACAATATCTACAAAGCAAATTTGTTTGATCCTCATTTTCAATGTATGGATTTGCTAAACTACTATGTCTATCAATGCCCAATTTTTGGTCAACAACAACATCAATTCGTTCAACTCCAATTAGTTTATCAAGCAATAACATGTTTTGCAATTCCCCATTGTTATCCAAATGACAATTCTTATACCTCGACAGTTGGTAAAACATAGTGATTGGATTAGTAGACAAATCACACCATTTGTTGCATATACATTTCACTAACTAGTCAAAGGAAAATGATTGTACCACATTTATCACAAACATGTTTGACCCATAGTAGCACAACAACAACATGAAAAAATCCATTTGTCTCGTATCCCACTGCAAAATCATCAATAGTACATAAAATAATTTGAATATTCAATCATATTGATATGTGTGAAGATTTGCTAACACAATGAAATGTATCAGGATTTTTAAATAATTCAAATATTCATATCATACAAAAAAAACTCTACTTCCTCAACAAACAATCATATGCCCTATATTTATCATCATACACAGCACATATAACAAATAATAAGCTCACAGTATACGCATATACATACAATTTTAATTATAAAATTCATATACTGATAGCATGAACTTCCAGTTCACTAAATGCTTAACAATAGCTAGTTCAAACACTGATGCAACAAAACTTCAGCTTTCAAAATTTAACATGAACACAATGATTTCATCACAATAACGAATCAATCACTAATTGCATGACATAAACATCACCGTAATTAATTGATAATAAATGATGAAGAATAACGAAGAATAATGAAGAACAGAACAAATCATAACAGCAATCTCAAACAAAAACTAGCCTTCTCCAGAATATCGACTAAAAACCAGACAGAATTGCAAATCGCAATTCGAAATTGCGCAAAACCTAGAGCTTCAATAATCGCAAAATCACGCCTAATCTATAGCTTCAAAAAGTAGCAAATGGCAAATGGCAAAGAGAAATTAGAAATTGCAAAAAATTTGGAATCCAAACGCAGATCGCAGACTTCCCAAAAATGATATTCAAACAACAAGCACTATATATATATATATAAGGGTAAAATGGTAAAAAAAAAATAAAATAAAACTGAAAACAGGACCTCCGGGTCTAAAAGCATAAACTTTAGGTTTTAATAAAATAAAAATAAAAAAGATGGACCGATTGGTATACAAGAATTTGAAATAGGATTTTCTAGTAATTTTCCCTTAATATAAACTAATATGTAAATTTTAGACATTAATTTTTTTTAATGAACAACCATTGCACACCCATTAGCAACACTCTTTAAATAATATTAATTTTTTAAATTTTCACGGTCAAACTTATAAAAATTTTAAAAAATTGATTTATATTTCTAATCAATTTTTTAAAATTTCACGGGCTAACCCATGAAATTTTTTTAAAAATTGATATTATCTAAAGATTGTCAAAAAAAATTGATATTATCTAAAAATTGTAAAAAAAAAAAAAAAAAAGTCTAGCAAAACAGCTTGTTTGGTTTTGTTTTTCTGAAAACAATTTTTAGAAAATTCTGCTTTCTTATTTTTCGTATTTTTTTGTTTTTATTGAATTTTTTTAATATTTTAAGCAATTTTTTTAATTATTAGATATACCAAACATAAATATACTTAAAAAGTAAAAAAATTGTGAAAAAAACCTTTTAAAAATTCACTAAATACCAAAAGTATAAAAAAAATACGAGAATTCAATACATTTTTATATTTTTATGTATTTATTAATTTTTTAAAATGTTTTTTCACAATTTTTTAATTTTTAGATACATCTAAATAAGGTGCATTTAAAAAAATATAAAAAATACTTAAAATTTTAAAAATATTCACTAAAAATAAAAAAAATACAAAAATTAAATTTTAAAATATTTAATAAAAAAATTGAAACTAAACACACTAAAACTGAATGCAGTTCCTAAACTAACAGTTCCTAAACTAACAGATGAAGGACCCTGGATGACATCCAGCCTATCAGAGGCCAAGCCCAAGCCAAGCCCAAGCGCAAAAAAACCCAATGATAGTAACCCTATAAATGGCGGGAGTCTCCTGTGCGTATGGAGTTTTCTCAACACCCAATCATCTCTCTTCCTCGCTCTCACACTTCTCACTCTCTCTCCTCTTTGTTTCTCTGTCGTCAACGTTTCACTTTTTACGCTCCAATCCCTTTAAAACCCTGCAATCGCAAAACCCCCCAAAATCCACAGACGCAAATTCACAACACTCAAAACACACATTCGCACCTCCATTCATCATCCATTGATTTCATTCACTCTCTCAATGTCTTACTGGATTTGATTATTCCCCCATAACTGTCTTCGTTCTAGGGTTTCTTTGTTTTTTTTTTTTTAAAAAAAATTAGGGTTTTTGCGTTGGAGAGAGAGTGAGAGAGAAATTGGAGCTCCGATTCAATGGAAGCCGCGGCTGGTGTCGCCGCCGTACGCGGTGTTTCTATGCCGATGCCGACTTCTCAGCCTTCGCGCAAAGAGTGGCGTGTTGTTTCCGAGCATTCCGTTCGAAACTCTAGCAGCGAGGTGTGCTTGCTAAACCCAGTGTCATTGTTTTGCTTCAATTCGAAAAGCTAGGGTTTACAGATTTGTCGTTGATTTGATAAGATTTTAATGGAAAACTTTTTGACCTAGGACTTGGACCGTTCGAAGTTAGGGCAATCGGATGAGAGAACGATATATGAGGTAATGGATGTGTTCGTACTAGGGTTTTTGTGGTTTGAATCACCAACGCCACTTATCATTTAGTATGATTGTTGGAATCTATAGAATTATTCTTGAATGATGAAGGTGATTTTTGCTGTATTGTTAAGGTGCAGCAGGGAAGAGAACCGGCCGATGTGGATTTCTGTTCAATCACCATCGATGGAAGTTTGGACAATGATATTTTGCAGCAGCGACTTCACGGTGTTGCTAGGCAGAGAGAGGGTCTGCAACAGATTGAGATTGAACTTCGAGCTCAAATCATTGCGAGATCGGAGATCATTGAAATTCAAAACAACTTTGATGCTCAGATTACTGAACACGCCAATGCCAATGTCAAGCTTCAGGTTTTGAGTCTGTTCCTTTGTGTTTGGAAGTAATTGTGCCTTTTTGTTTGTAAATATTATTTTACCTTGTCCTGAAGGAGCAACTGCATGAAATGGAACAAACAATACATGAGTTGGAGAGGAAGACAGAAGAGAAAGATAGAGAGTTGCACGCAATTAAACTGGACAATGAAGCGGTTGGTTGAGTGTATTTTGCAAAGATAGTCTGTTCTTTTGATATTGTGGAATGTGTGGTTGGGGATTCACTTGTTGAATAAATCTCTTTTATCTATTTTGGCAGGCATGGGCAAAGGATGATCTCCTTAGAGAACAAAACAAAGAATTGCAGACATTCCGGTAAGTGTTTAGGTCCCTGGAATTGCTATTTTAGATATAATCTGTTTGTGTATATTTACTATCTTTACTTGAATTAAATAAATTGATTCTTTAGAATACATGATGGCCTGGGACACTGTATTTAAAATTTCACACATCATAAATCTCTTGATGACTTGTATCAGTTTGGGGTTGTTTCGGGGGTTTTGGTGTTTTGGATGTAGTGTGAATGGGGGTGCATATGGTTTTGCAGGAGGGAGCGTGATAACTCTGAAGCTGAAAGAGCCCAACATCTTAAACAGATGCATGACCTTCAAGAACATATTCAGGATAAAGAGCGGCAGTTCCTTGAATTGCAGGAACAGGTTTGTTAAGTTGCATTTTCCAATGCATGTGTTTAATCCTAGTAAAATGGAAGCTTAAACTCTGAAATGTCTTAAGCGTGTTTAGGTAATTTGTTATGTTTCAAGATTTTTGTCTTCTTTGAAGCTAACTTAGGTGGTCTGAAAAGAATGTCTTTTGTTCGGATAAGATTTTGTTCAACGTTATATATTGAATTTGGTATGCTTGTAGATTTCCCTGTCATGTTATTGTTTGATGTGGAAACATCTTTTGTTGTGTCTTTGAATTCTTTTCTTTACATTTATTTTTCAATGGTAGTATTATCGGAGATTTCCCCAGCGCATTGAGGGCCAGATTAATTAGTTTGGAGCTTGTTGGATGTTTATTGCACTTTGGGAGGTACATTGCCTAATGATGACTTTATCTTTCAGCATCGAGTTGCTCAGGAAACCATCCTGTTTAAAGATGAACAGTTGAGGGATGCTCAAGCGTGGATTACGCGTGCTCAGGAGATGGATGCTTTGCACTCAACTACTAATCACTCATTACAGGCTGAGTTGCGAGAACGAACAGAACAATATAACCAGCTTTGGCTTGGTTGTCAACGACAGGTTGTTAGCCTACAGATTAGTCTCTAAAGTTGACTCTGGACTTCCATTATGTAACTGAATCGTGCACTGTTTAACAATATTTTTCTGTCATTGAATGGAAACTTGACCATATGCCATTGAATGTGGTCTATTTCTGTGCGCCAGTCATTTTCATACTGAACCTCAATTTTCTTGTTGTTCCTCTGTTGAATAGTTGATGTCATTGGTGAAATTGATTTCTATTTGTTATCCATGTTAGTTTGCTGAGATGGAAAGGCTTCATTTGCATACAATACAACAGCTCCAGCTTGAACTGGCTGATGCAAGGGAAAGGAGTGGAACTTATACTGAGGAATCACGTGTATCCCAAACAAACTCAAATGATGCTCTGCAGTATGGACAGAACAATGGAAACCAACTAGATGTGGATGGAGGTGTCACGACAAATTCAAATTCTGGGGACCTACCAAATGGAAATGTGGAAAATGTTACATCTTTTGTCTCAACTGGCAATGCTTCAACTCAGGTAGAGTATGCATTTATTTATTGTTCCTTCACTACCCTTCTAAGAAGCACAAACATGGACACGCTGACACGATAATTTTCAAAAAATGCAGTATATGTCATCGGTATAATATATTTAGTATATGTCATACATATGGCAATTTCGATCAAAGATAATAAAAAAGTCCAGCATAATACTAATTCTTAAATAGGAGGGATTAACACGTATAAATCTACCTTGTTTTTATTTTATTGTATCTTCTAAATTATTTTGTTTCAAACTTATAATGTATTTCATCTGCGTGTAATGGATGAAGTATGTTCGGGTCTAAAAAAATTAAAAAGAAAATGACATGTTTTTGGACACGTGTTTAGCATGTGTCAGAAATGTGATGATTGTTGGACTCTGACACGGGAACAACGCTGCTGTTTTAGAATTTTTTGTGCTTCTTAGTTGCCCTTCCTCCCTTCAAAATCATTTTGCAAGTGGAAAATGCTGAAGGGGAAGTTGTAGTAGAGAATAACTATGGTAAAAAAAATATATTTATCAAAAAAAAAAAAAAAACTATGATAAAAAAAATACATGTGATACTATAAGAGCATCTCCAATGCATTGCTATAATAGCTGCTAAAGTCATAATATGGCAGCTTGAGCAAAAATTGCTTCTCCAATGGCATGCTATAGCAGCTGCCAAATCTGTTGCCAAATTTGGCACCAACTTTGGCAGCTGCCAAATATGCCAACTCACCAAAAATCAACCGTTTTCTTCCTTCCCTCCCTCATCCTTCCCAACAAAACAGAGTTAATTTTTTGTAAAACCAAATTCACCAAATTTTTTAAAATAGAAATTGTTTAAAACAAAAATTTTTTAATACATAAATTATTTCAACAACCAAACCCTTCAAACATAAATTATTTCAACAACCAAACCTTTCACAAAAAAAAATAAAAATAAAAATAAAAATAAAAAATAAAAATCACAGACAACAACAACAACAACAATAATCAAAAAATTTCAATGCAAATAAGCAATTTCAAACGAATTTTAAACAATAAATACTAGGAATTTCGTGGTTGATGGATTTGAGACGAGGGTTTTGATCTCTGCGATCTGCGAAGAGGGCTCCTTGATGCGATCTGCGAAATGGTGGAGAAGGATCTACGATCTTGGTTCTCATGTTTGTTTTCATCTTCTTTGTGTCATGTGAAGAGAGAGAGAGAGAGAGAGAGAGAGAGAGAGAGCGATCTGTGTAGAAATGTGAGAAGAAATGAGTTCTGTCTCTGGGAAGAAATGTGAGAAGAAATGAAGGCATGAAAAAGAATGAGAGAGAAAGAGAGTGTGGTTTGATCAAATAGGATGTGATGGCACCCGTTGATGTAATCCAACGGCTAGAAAAATGAGTGAAGAATAATATATATATTTTTAACAGTTACAATATATATATATATTAAACTTAAATTATATATAGTTTGGATATATTAAACTTAATATATGAGCTGAAAAATGAGTGATGGCACCCGTTGAAAAAGGTTATATATATCATTTTTATTTTCTCCTCTTTTTAATTTCATTTCAAATATAATTGCCAAAATTTATATATATATATATATATATCTGAATTTTAATTTTTTTTTTATATTTGTTTAGTTGGTGGGTAATTGGTAATTGTTTATTTTTTTGTGTAATTAAAAGAATTTATTAAATATGTAGTGATATGTTTTTTGGTGGGGGTGAATTATATTTATTTTTTTTTCCCAATTTTTTAATTTTTTTAAATTTTTTATATTTGTTTAGTTGGGAATAATATAAATATATAATTTTTTTAACAAACAGATAAAAAAATGTCACAAAAGACAAAAAATGAACAAAAATAAAATCACAAAAATCCTATATCCAAACAACACTTACAAAGTTGGGGGGAAAGTTGGTTGAGATTTGCCAAAAATAGCAAATGACCATTGGAGCACCATTGCTATAATTTGACAAAATAACACTATTCATTGTCAAATTATAGCAATAGTAATACCAATATAGCAACAACCATTGGAGATGCTCTAAGATGCAATGAAACAACCTTTTTTATAGTGACGATTTGGTTCAGTTTTATTTACAGCGTTTTTCATGTAGTGATTCATGTGAAGCACTGTTGAGTAATATGTCGGGGGAGTCGTGCATGCTTATATGTGAGAGGCTAATGCATTTCTCTCAATTGGATTTCTTTTAATTTGCTCACTGTTTTTCATGCCATTCTAACTTTCTTTAAGGGTGGTTAAATGTTTATTAAGTTATTTATTTTTCCGAATGGCTATATTTTGGGGCAGACGGATCATAATGTTTTCATTCATAGTATTCAAAGTGTCAATGTTGATATCTAGTAAGCACATGACATAACGGTCAATCATTGTGTCTATGTGCTAAGACATCTAACTACTAATGACAAAACCTAGCTATACTTCTTCATCAGTGATTTGATTTTACAAGTATCAATCCTTGAGCTTTAGAAAGATTTTTTGGTCTGCATTGATCTTGGTACGTGAGGAGCTCATACTTCTTCTCCTTAGTCATTAGGTTTTAAGCATCAAGCCTTCAGGTGTGCCTTGTACAGCCTTTTGTGCATGGGCATATGAGTACATATATGAGGAGCTTGTCTTAGGCTCTTGTTAGCCTTAGGCTCCGTTTGGGAGGAGGCTACTTTAGTTTGCTATTTGGCTATTTTAGCCTGGTTAAAAATATTGTGTTTGGGATGATAGTTTTTTTTTTTTTTGTAGTTGATTTGATGGTTGAGAGAGAAAAAGTGAAATAATTATGAGTTGGATGTGATATTTTGTTTTATTGGCTATTTTAGCCTATATTGTCTTTATTGGCTATTTTAGCCAAATAGCCTTTGGCCAAATAGGGCCTTAGTTTAGTAGATGGTTTAAATATGAAAAATAAAGAAATAAAAAAGAAAACACCACGTAAATGCTGAAGTGAGTAGCTTGATCACTAAACCAAAGAATGTCGATTTCACTTTTAATGATGGCAAGCTAAGAAGCATGGACACTTATAAGAAGGTGACGTATCCGTGTCGTGTCGGATATTGACACTCTTTGGACACTTCTCTAACACATGTCCGACACTTTTCAAAACGTGTTCTATTTTTAAATTTTTTTTAAAGACCCGGATACTCTTTGGATACTTGGAGGATACACGTGTCTATCGATTAAACACATGTTAAACTAATTATAAGTTTGAACAAAACAACTTAAGATACAATAATAAAACAAAAATCATATAAATTTATAAGAACTAGTGTCGTATTACATTTTTTATTATCTTTGAATGATATATTCATATATATAACATATAATAAATATATAAAATTATATATTTTATACGTGTCCCCCACGTGTCGTGTCTTGTATTTTTTGAAAATTGACGTGTCAGCGTGTCCGTGTCGTATTCGTGTCGTGTCCGTGTCCGTGTCCGTGTCCATTCTTCTTAGATGGCAAGCTTCCTTCTCTGCAGTGAAATATTGGACGCTTTGAGTAGAAAAGTGTTTACGCCTTTACATTTAATTCTTAATCTTTTTTTTTACTATTTTTTAAATATTTATTTCATTTACTAAATATAAAAATTCAAAATGCTTGTGCCTTGATGCCTCGAGGATTATGCCTCAGCTAAACGCCTCGTGTTATGCATTCACCTTTAAAAACTTTGCTCAAACTTCACAATCTCTGGCTTCTTGTTCTGGTCTGCAATTGGGAAGGCAGACATTAATCACCTGAGTTGCATAGATATAGACACGAGGACATGGATATGACATAATACAGAGACATCGACATGCCAATTTTGAAAATAAAAATAAAACTAGGATACAACGCAATAGGGATACGACAACTAGTAAATAGATATTTTACTTGTACACTTGGAAATTAATTAAAGGTCATTTTTCACATTCTACGTATTGTTTTGTGAACAAAATTGCCTTAATCTCTATTTTAGAAAGCTCTATTTTCAAACAACTTGGAAGTTTTGGGTCTTAGAATTCTTAAAATTAGAAAGTCTGAAGGAGGGATATAAATAGGTAAAAATTCATATTGTTTAATTTTATCATTGGATCCCAAGTTATGTTCTTCAAATTTACAATGTGTTTCATGAATGTTGAAGTATGGACAAGTGTCTCTAAATATTTGAAGCGTGTTTGGTTCTCCCAAATATTTGAAGCATGTCTAAGTGATACGACACATTTGGATGCATGTTTGACATGTGCTAGGGAGTGTCCGACACAAAATCATCTTCTTCTTAGAAGTGTTCGTGTTTTTTAGACTGTCACTATCTTGGACTATTGCTCATGTTGGGAACTAGCTTCCATTCTTCAATTGTGAGCAGAAAAGAGTGGGAGAGTCACTGATAATACTTTACACACTGAATATTGGGTATAGTTTTATTGGCTGAATACATGACTGGCGTACACACATTTGCAAATCTCAACGCAGGGCTTGTCATTACAAGTTGTCTTAAAATTTGGCATAGTTTCCATCTCTCTACGAATCATTTTATGAAAATTTTCCCCTATCTTTATCTTTGTTTGAGCATTCTTATGCTTGTTGTACTATTATATTGTTCATATGAACTAGGTGTTTCTTGGTATGATAATTAAAATCTGTGGTTACTTACAAAGACACAGTAAATTTAAATGTGTACACTGTACATTCTTTTAATAAATTAACTTTCGTTATTATTTATTATTAGGCTGACCATGTTCATGGTGCTCCAATTGCTCCATCTTCCCTACTTGGGATGCCTACCTACCTTCCACCTGGACAGGTGACTGCTTTGCATCCATTTGTTATGCATCAACAGGGCGTGCCCCACTCTGTCCCAGCGCATGTTACTCAATCTCATGTTGGACATTTTCACTCAGTACCTGCAATTTCATCTCTTCAACATTGGCAGAACCAACAGGTGCAAGCAAATGGAAACCTTGTTTTGTCCTCGTTCATGTTGCCCATGATATTATCGTTTTGAGTATGATATGTTCTTTTTCTTCAGGCTGCATCAGAGGGTTTGCAGGTGCCAACTCACAACCAATATCCTTCATCTCAAACTGATCAGAGCTTGTTGAGACCAGATACTAATTATGACTATGAAGTGTCTGTAAATGGACAAGCTATTCACCCAGACTATTTAGATGTTCATGCGAGCCAAGGAATGGAGCCTGATACTGTGATCACTGCATCAGTTCCAGAAGGACAGGTTTTGTAACTGAAATGTTGTTCTTCAGAATGATGCATGTGTACAATGGTTTATTTTCATCTGCTCAATGGTAGTGATCCTCGAAATTCTTTTTCAGGTTCTTGAGCAGGTTGATAAAAGCTACCTGGTAGCCCCACAACCCCAACAGAGCTTGCAACATATTTCTTCCCAGTTTCGCGAGGCTCTAAGAATAGATTCTCTTTCACAGGATAGTGAAACCAAGGTTTGTCTTTTTTTATTATTTTCATTTATGTATTTTTTGTCAGTTAATCAAGGTTTGTCATTGTTTGTGCACTGTTTTTGTTTACTTGCTATCATCTACCATCGTGGATCTGTTTCTCTTAAATGGCTGGTAATGTGAGAATGAGGCCGACCTCTGCATCCCTTAAAGCAGCTAAGTATTATCCGATACTAAGAGTGCCTTGAATTTCAACTGGAACAGGAGAAGATCATTACCTCTTCGACTAATCATGGCTTGGAGGTTCAAGAGTTCATTACAGAGCAAGCAAGTTCTGCAAATACACAATCATCTGAAACACCAATCACTCATGTGAATTTCAGTGAAACCACAATGAACAATGCCACTGGTGTGGTTTCATCTGAATCATTTGTCTCGTCTGGGGAGAAAAATGTACATCCTGGTGGAAAGACTTCAGAGACAGCTCTTCTTGATGAAAGATCATTGTTGGCTTGCATTGTTCGCACAATACCACCTGGATCTGGTGGTAGAATCAGGATTAGCTCGACGGTTAGTGAAAATTAATTCTGGCACAGTATTTTTTTAGCTTTCCACTCCTGGCTTTATTGATGATTCTATTATCAATGTCACGTACAGCTTCCAAATAGGCTTAGCAAAATGCTTGCCCCTCTACATTGGCATGATTACAAGAAAAAATATGGAAAGCTTGATGATTTTGTGGCTGGTCATCCTGAAGTAAGTTCTGTAGATCTTCAGCTTAGTTTTTGTTCCTTTCTTTAACTTATGTTTTTGGTTTGTTACAGATTAATATTATAGTTAGATAACTCCTTTTTGTATTTTAGTTATTCTTAATTGAAGAGGACTATATACAACTTCGAGAGGGTGCACAAGAAATCATTGCGGCTACAGCTGCTGTTGCCAAAGTCGCAGCAGCAGCTAAAACAGCATCTTCTCCTTATTCATCATTGTTGCCATCTGTTGCTGTTACTCCCATGGCACAATCTCACCGACTAAAGAGGGCCCCATCCATTGATTCTTCCAGACCTGCAAGTGCCACTGATAATCATTCGCAGCTCTCAGTGCAGAATCAGCATTCTAATGGTGTTCATCTAAATGCTGGAGGTATCTCAAATATTAAAATTTTGAGCAAACCAAAAGATCCTCTGGAACTGAATGGCGCTGAAAGTAGGCCTGGCCAGTCATCTGGACTTGTGGCAGTTGGAAATGGAGCAAACCCTGATAGGTCTGGTTTGGGCAATTCTCTAAGCAAGGGGAGGTCTAGTGCGAATTTTGTGGGAAAACTGCAGGGCAGGTATTGATCCAAGTACCTCGAGAGTTGTTGTGCATTCATTCTATGTTTAAGTCCGTAGGTTTGTAGGTTTTTAGATTTTACTCCTACTGTCAAATATAAGCTTATAAGTTTTTCTTTTTGTATGTGACAGGGCAACGGGGGTTGCATCAACTTCTAGAAGATAGTAAGTTTCATTAATGTTGTCATTGAATTTCATAAAAACATTGTGGTGTTCTCTTAATGTTGCAATGGAACAATTTATTCTATGAAAATTCGTCTGTCTGTGATAATGGCTTAGAACAACTATGCTGAAAGGTCATATAACATAAAATCTGACATTTCATGGTTTATGATTGATTGTATCAGGTAATTTGCCGGCTTAATGCATTTGTTGTTTATAAGCCTTCGAAAAATGTATTTTCCCTTTGTCTAGCAATGGTGGATTGCTCCTTGAGAAGCACATTTAATGTGCCTTTCTATAGGATTGGAAGGAGCTTTCACCAAATGAGTTATAATTTCCTTGTTTGATGAGTAATAATGAAAGGCATGAGCATGTTTAAGATTAGTTTTCTGATGTCTATTTTATGGTTTTGTTGACCTCATTAATGCATTTGTGATCACACCTTGTTAGTTTATTATTGATTCACTCACTGGGACATCAAAAGAAGTTATCAATGATATTATGCTTTTTTTAGACATTGTCTTTTTAATGTACCAATGCTGAAACCATTCTCTTTTAATTATTATTTTCAAAATATTTAGGTGTTTGATTGTGTAAGGGTTTCATGTTTTGAGACTGAATGTTTTCCAACAAATGAGGATGTCCCAAATGCACTTTATTTAGCTATTACATCTCACTTTTTGCAACATTGAACTTCATATTTTGCATCATAGTCGCTCTCAATAACAAATGATGTAGTTATTTGTGGTCATACATAGGTTATGTTTTATTGATGCTCCTAATAATGTCAAAAACTGGAAGAGTCATTATTTTTGGATCAAAGGATTTGAGAAGGAAAAGAGATGGGAAAAATTAAAAAAATTAGCTTGTATTTCATACACTTCTTCTATACTTTTTTTCTTACCTTCACAAATCCCTCCCAAGTCCTTGATCCAAACACAGCCTGTATATTTTGTGTGTAAAGTCTTCTGTCTTTAGCCCCTGTGGTTTTGTTTTCGTTCTTTTATTTAGCGCTAGTAATTCTTCTAATTGTTTGGTTTGGCAGGGTACAATTTGGACATCTTCCCGATCAAATGAACGTTCATCAATGTGCACAGATCTAGGGGATGATGATAGCATTTGAGGGAGAGTTTCTAGGTTGAAATCTCTCGTATCTTTTGCATTTGATAGAATTATCTGATTGGAATCCTTTAATTGTCCCCCTCTCCTGCACCTCTCTTGTTTTCGTTTTGGAAGAACTGTTTATTTTTACATATTTTTACTCAGAACTGTACATCCATCTGCCTGCTGTGATATTCATATCCACAATTGCATCTGTTATCTGGCAGCTTGCAAAAGTAGTCTGGCAGCGTACTTTTTTGTCTGCGGATTCTAAATTATTGGAAAATATTGTTTCCTGAATTGGCTGAACTCTTCTTTTCAATTATTAAATGTGTTTGTATCGATGCTGTCTGGATAAATGAGTTGCGATATTTAGCTATGGTGCTGCTAGGTTGTTTTCAAATTCTGACTTCTTAACTTATGCTATTTTATGAATCGGTGGTGTTGGATTTGGCTTTCTGAGAGTGATTCCATTCGTCATTGCTAAATTGGCAATTGGCAAAGTTATAATTGAGCATGCTAATGTCAGAATGTCAAATTTTGGCTATGTTTTAAGCCTTGTTTGCTAAGTGATTTTTTTAGTTAAAAAGTTACTAAAAAAAAATATATTCCCGAGGCCTTAGTAGTACTATTATCATTTTGGCACATTCAGATTATTGTTTATTTTTGTCTGTTGGATGGCTCGTATGTAGACTATTGGATTAAAACTGTCGTGGGAATTGAATTGGCAAAAGTGACATTGTCGAACTTGTGACAAATTTGGCGCAATATTTGATGATGTAATTTTTTGGCATAGGGTAGCTTGTAGTGATAATTTTATAGTACTTTTAGGCTAGGTTTGTTTGGGTGGGTCGAATTAGGTTGGATTAGCATTCTCATAACTAATAGTCTTAGATTATGATTTTTTTTTTCTTCTTTTTTTGAGAATCGACTACGAATCTTTTTAGATTATGTATTCTATTTTTTGTTTAGATTGAGTTAGGATTATAATGAGGGATTAATAAAATATTATTTAATCTGATGTTTGTTTAAAGGGATTGGAATGGATAGAACATTACAGGACATGAGACATTCAATATATTGATCACAATACCTATATTATGGTCATTTGATAAATTAGTCAAGAATTTGATTTAGTCCCTCAATTTATATCACACTCTTTATGTGGAATTGAATACTCTATCATATATGGAATATTATATTCAGACGGATTGTTAGTTCGTATTTTAATTTTTTAACTAAATATCGGATTAATATGTTAATTTAATGTATTGAGAAAGAGAGAGAATAAATTGTGTATATATGTTGTATATTACATATTTGAATAGGTACACACTCTTTTGTATAGGAGAGAAGATGCTATGCTACAAACATGATGCAAACACCATCATGGGAAAGTAGCCGAAAGGAACCGAAAGCAAATGCACTATCTGCACTATCTAATACATATTATAATACTAATGCTGCACTACATTATATAATATATATTAATAGTCCCCCTCAAACTCAAGGATGATATGTACCAACCAACTTGAGTTTGAAGAGAGTAACAAAACGGAAAAATAAATAAAAATAGGATATGAGACACTGTATGGTTGTGTCAGATCGTTATAGAAGACATGGTATGGTTGTGTCAATTCGTTGGAGAAGACACTGTATGGTCGTGTTCGACCGTTGTAGCAAACATTGTGTGGTCGTATCAGACCGTTGTAGAAGAGACTGTATGGTTGTGGCAGACTGGTGTAGAAGACACTGTATGGCTCGTGTCGGACCGGTGCAGAAGACACTGTGAGGTCGTATCGAATCGCTATAGAAGACACTGTATGATCGTGTCAAACCGTTGTAGAAGACATTGTGTGGTCGTGTTGTATCGTTGTAAAAGACACTGTATGGTTGCGTCGGATCGCTGTAGAATACACAGTGTGGTCGTATCAGATCGCTGTAGAATATATTGTATGGTCGTGTATATAAGTAGCCTAAAGATATATATGTATATATATATCGCGCCCTCAAAAGTCGCGCCTAATACATCAAAAGTCGCACATGACACTGTGGCGTCAAGTATCGCACGATTCACGTGGCTCTCGCTCCCGTTTGTCATCTTTGTCTCTTCGCTCGCTATTTAAATCGAGGCTGAGGCTGGATAGAGGCAGTGCAAAACAAACCATTCTGAAATCTCTCCGTTCTCTGATAGCTGCAAACCCTTTTTGACATTCCCTAAAAGCTCTGCTTCTCTGAAACACTCTGCAACCCTTAACATAACATGACCTCTTCTTCCCGTGGTCCGCTCACCCATTTTCTAGACCTGAATGAGTCCACAATAGAGATAACCGGTTCTGTCGCCCTTGAAGCGCAACCAAGCGCCCCTGGACCAAGCGCCCATGTTTTTGCTCCGTTGAACTTTCCTATGCTGTCAGTTGAGCAAATAATGGCAGCTCAATCTAACATTGAGGCCAACCATTATACGCTGAAGTCATGTGTAGAGACCATGACTGCGGTCACTAACTTGTCTTACCGGTTGCAGAATAGGACAAGTGAGGTACAACAGTTAAATACCCAACTCTCTCTGCTGCAGTGCATGTACAAGAATGCGCGAGCAGAGATTTGCGCGCTGAAGGCGGAGAACAAGGAGTTGAAACGGAAGGCCACCGTCATGGTTCGATTCGGAGGTCCGCCATACGCTGCGTTTGAGGAGCAGCGGGGAGGCCACTTGCTCGGTGGACTTGAATGCATTGAGGCAGGGCTGTCAAGTGTCGCCCAAGACAAAGGTTAGAGGAAGAGAGCGGCGGCAGAGTCTAGGAAGTGAGGTCGGTGGGTGGCCGTCAGCAGAAAAGAAAACAAATCCTTTGTTGTTGTTGTTGGTGGTGGTGTTGGTGTTTTTTTTTTTTTTTTTTTTTTTGTAACTTTCTGGTGTAGAATTGTATCGGGGTAGATCCCTGAGATGAATAAAACAAGGTTTGTTGTGCAAATCTGTATGGTATGAATGGCACAATACGGAGCAGAAAAAACAGGTGGAATGAAATCGAGTTAGTGGTGAATGATGAATGTTGCTCTGTTTTTTTATTTTTATTTAAAATAAAGTTGGGGGTAGTACCCCTACAAAAACTGAGCTTGATAAAGTGGACATAGTGGTGGGATGGGGTAATATATTATAATAATAATATATATATATATAAAATAAAAGAAAGTTGAGTAGGGGTGCTTTACTGAGTGGGGAGAAGATGAGGTTGGGTGGTCCAGCTGCTTCGATGGTGGCCAATTCCCAACTGAGCTTTTTTTTTTTTTTTTTTTTTTTTTCAAAATAAAGTTGAGGTAGTGGATATGTTTGAGGTAGTGGATGTGTTTGGGAACTGCTTGTGAAACCATCCACCGCGCAGACCACCATTTTACTTCCACATTACCCGTGCCAAATTTGAGGAGCTCAAAATGGATCTCTTCAGAAAGTGTATGGAACCAGTTGAGAAGTGTTTGAGAGATGCTAAGATGGACAAGAGCACTGTTCACGATGTTGTTCTTGTTGGTGGATCTACCAGGATTCCCAAGGTCCAGCAGCTATTGAGGTAGTTCTTCATCGGGAAGGAGCACTACAGCAAAGATTGGCTGCACCTGCGGGAGTACGGATTGACCTGTGCACCGAATCGGCAGTTCTAGTAGAAGGCGCCACGTTGGGAGCAGGGGACATTGTTCCTCTGCAGCGCACCGTAGCTGATGTAGCGGGTGGCGGCTGGCCTCGGAATCGAGACGAACTCCTCGTCGGCGGAGAGGTACTCGGCGATGGTTCCTCGGTATCTGGAGTTCGCGGTTGGTGCTGTGGGCTTACTACATTATATTATATAATGTAGTGCAGTAGTAAGGTCTCAGATTATGGCGTCACCTTTTTGAAAGGTCTGCACAAGCTTTCCTTATTGAACATGAAAGGTTGCCCTGTTACCGCGGCATGCTTGGATTGCAGGTCTATCAAACTTGGCAACTTTGAGTTTTTAGAAGAAACAATCAGATTATTGCTCAAGGACTGAGTGTCTTGTCTTTGTCTGGCTTAGTTAACGTGTTAAAGTTGGATCAGGAGAGATGTCCAGGAATCCATGGTGGACTAGTTCACCTCAAAGGGCTAACGAAGCTCGAGTCTCTTAATATCAAATGTTGCATTTGCATAACAAATGCTGATATGAAGCCTCAGAGGTGATGATGATGAAGAAGAGTGTGAAGGTGTTGGAGAGAAATGAAGTGGTTGCCATTGTTGTGAAGCTTTGAGAAGACCTTAAGATGATGATGAAGAAGAAGCAACTTGTGATGTGTGTTGTGAGTGGACGGTGCTCTTTCCTTACTGGTTCGGCGAGTAGAGGCCGCCGGCGATGATAAAGGCGGTGAAGAAGAGTGAAGGTATGTGTAGAAAAACTCCAGCGGGCAGCGAAGGCAAGGTTACCAGCCATGCATGTCGGGCAGAAAGAAATATAGGTCTAAATCTTATAGCTCTAATACCATGTTAATTTAATGTATTGAGAAAGAGAGAGAATAAATTGTGTATATATGTTGTATATTACATATTTGAATAGGTACACACACTCCTTTATATAGGAGAGAAGATGCTATGCTACAAACATGATGCAAACACCATCATGGGAAAGTAGTCGAAAAGAACCGAAAGCAAATGCACTATCTGCACTACCCAATACATATTATAATACTAATGTTGCACTACATTATATAATATACACTTACAATTTTATTGGATTATTAATCCAATTCCAAGCATATATCCATCCAAACAAATATGATCCTATTGTTTTGCGTAGTACATCAAATCTGAGAAGTAGGTCGCTTGAAGTTGCTAAGTTGGTTACTGCAGTGCAGAATATATAAGGTCTTTTATATGGTTTTCTAGTCTTACACTAACTTGGAATTTTCATTGCCGGAAAAAGTAGGGCTAAAATTTGGATTTCAATAGTTAAACTAGAGGTTAATATGTTATCTCCGCTTTTTTAGTCTAATATTATGTTGTGAAACGAGACTGTTGTTGGCTAACACTTTGCAGGTGAGTTGGAATGGAATGGCTAGTCTTTTTATGGAATTGTCAGTTTCTTACAATAATTAATGATGATTTTTTTTTTTTGGGTAATATATGTTACTCAAAAAGCAACTTAAGAGGGGTGAATTGAGTTTCTACAAATTAAAATTAATAATAATCTAATAAAATTAATTACTAGTACAACAAATTATTAACAAGTACAATGATAAATTTAGTAGTAAATGATCAAACAAAATAACAATGAAGTATAACTAATATACATGGTAAATCAAATTATTAACACATGAATATTAAATAGCTATAGCAGTAGTGGGAA